GTATAATCCCCCCCCCCCCTTTTTTTTTACACTAGTACTCTATAATTCATTACATTACTCGGTATTCTTTGCAGTATATATTATAACGTCCTCAAATGTTTTCAAACAAATATGATGTAATAGAGGGCGCATGCGCAGTTTGCAGCGCACAGCCATTACGAGAAAAAAGAAAAGGTGATGTTTCTGCTCTGGAGCGCGTTATATGCGAATATTTTAATAGTATTCGCGAAGACTAAGATCACAACATCTGACTGAGAACATCTCCTTGACTGTCACCTTCTGCGCTCCTCGGGATCCGACCTTCATCATCAGCATCAGTGTGTGTTTACATCTGGACGTATTTGATATAATAACAAGTAGTCTAGATAGTTAAGTTGATATCATGCTGGGCGATGCTTTTGGACATCGTGTTGAATCCAGCGTGGAGAATAAAGCAGTGAAGATAAGCAGATCCAAGCAAGCGCTCTTGAAGAAGAGAGGACGAAACGTTCACAATAAACCCAACAAAGCATCAGGAAACATCAGCAAAAGCAGCTTTAAACCTCCATTAACCACCCATGAAGAGCTCAAACCAGCTCAGTCTAAACCAGCCACGAATAAACAGGTAACGGGCTTTATTGCCGTGCTAATACAAGGTTTTGTGCATTTTTGTATCATTCTTTATCTTGGACAAAAGAAAAAAAATATCTGTTTAGTCTGTGGTTAGTTGGATAATGTGTTTATTATGTTTTTAAAAAGAATAGTCTGACTGTAAACAGTCTTGCGTTGGTTTACTTTAGTGATATGGGCAAATAATGAAAGGTTGTGGGTTTGAATCCCGGAAGTGTTGATCCATAAACCATCACCATGTGCTCTTGAATCCTGACAGACACGTCAGCATCACAAAGAGAGACTGAACTATTAACTCTATAATTAGGGGTTCAAGCACAAAAGGTGCTATTTGTACTATCTTTAATATTATTCTTCTCTTTTTTTCTGCCATAAAAGTGTATGAGCAAATCACAGAGTCCCCAAATTTGGCAGGATGGTCCCAAATGTCATTCCTGGTATCCTTTTGGACATCATAAAATGTAGGAAATCAGACACAGTTTTTAAGATAACTTTTTATGTAATCATGATAGGAAGGTGTACAACTTTTTAAGTGCTTTTCAAGTTCAGGCAAGTCATTTTCAAGCATTTTTTAAACCAAATATATAAACTTGAATACCAAAATGTCAACCCTGTTGTGGACAAATTAACAGTTTAAAAGACTTATGGTTTTAATGTTTGTGCAATGTGTTTTTTATCACATTATGAAATTATCGTTAAAATGCTTAACAAGGTGGACAGAATTACTTTTGTTAGAACTGGGTTTTAAAATAATATGTAAAAAAAAGTTTAAATACAATACTTCTACTTTAACCACTGCTCTGTGCATTTCACCTCCCACTCTGTTAAAGGTAGGGTAGCTGATTTCAGAGAGGCTAGCAATAGTAAGCTAGCTTTGAAAGCATAAGATCCCACCCTTCCTGCAAATCACTCTCCAAAGCCACGCCTCCTCCAAAACACATGACCGTGCTCAGACAGACCAGAGGCTAACCAGCGACACGATGAGAGACGCATCAGTGCTGTCAGATTACCTCATGTCTCATTCCCCGGTGAGAAAACTTTACAGTACAAAGTGCATAATATTACAATAATAACGCCTTCCACTCGCTCGCTCGGTCTGCGATAGCGTAATGAACGCGCTGATGACGTATCATGTCTGCGCAGAGATATGCAAATACATATGTTGACAGGTAGGACAGCCTATCGTAGCCCTCGGACCGAGGAATATGATTGGACAAACATTTTATGATCCTATACCTTCTACAGACGCTATAAATACATATAGACCACTTAACTTAGTGATTGCTATCGGGATGTGAAGAGACTTTCAACCAGCATAACGAAATGTTTTTGAACCAAATCACCTACCCTGCCTTTTAAGTCTTTTGATTATACACCTTTTTCTTAATGAGTGTACTGTGTTTTAGATGAAAGGGGTCATATGATGCTATTTTAAAGATCATTATTTTGTGTATTTGGTGTAACTTTATAAAGAATATCTCTTTGGATTTGAGACTTTAGTCTTTGTAACTTTACAGATCTTCTTTATGCACCAAGAGCTT